CCCTTAGAGGTGATGGAAAGTTTGAGTGATTTGCTTTCACCGTGAGAGTATTTCTCCAGCCAATACATTGACTTTTCTGTTTTTAAGTTCCTCTGTGTTTTTGGAATCTCTGTAACTGCATTAGAAAGACTGGATCTGGAGTGAAGACCTGGGTTCAAATCCTGCCTCTGTGGGTAGGTGGTACAGTGGATAGAGCTTTCAGCCTGGAGTTAGGAAGAACTGAGTTTAAATCCAGCTTCAGAGATTTACTAGATTTGTGACCTTGGACAAGCCACTTAATCTCTGTCTTCTCAACTGTAAAATGTGGATCATAACAGCATCTACCTCCCAGGTTGTTGTGAGGACCAAATGAGAAAATATTTATAAAGTGCTTGGCATGTAGTAGGTGTTTAATAAATGCATATTCCTGCATACTCGTACCTCTGCCTCTTACTATCTATGTGACCTTGGGCAAGTCATTTAGCTCTTAGTCTCTTAATCTGTAAAATGAGCAGATTGAACCAGATGACCTTTAAGGTACCTTTCAGCTTTAAATCTATGATCCTGTGGTCATTGCTCCATTTAATTGTTAATTTAAATTCAGTATCTACAACCTCCTCCTCCTCCCCCCCATCTCCACCCAATGAACCCCAGGTGGGGTCATGAAGAGTCAGATAACACTGAAACAACTTAGCAACAACAAAGTTCTCTCCTGTGAATTTCATGTTCTGCATTTTAATTTGCTTGTTAAATATTTTTAACTGGATGTTCCATAGACGTCTCAAATTTAGCATATCTAAAACAGAATTCATTGTCTTTCCCAACAAACCACCTGAAATATGAATTTCCTTATTTTGGTTGAAGGAATAAACCATCCTTCTAGCTTAGGTTCACAACCTCCGCACTGTCCTTGACTCTCCCTCAGTCCCCATATCTAGCCAGTTGCCAAACCTTGTCATTTCTGCCTCCATAATGCCTCTCACATCCGTTTCCCCCTCTCACATAGCCATCATTCTAGTTCAGGTCCTCATCCCTTCTTGCTTGGATTATTATTATAATAACTTCGTTGCTTCAGTCTTTCCTTTCATCAGTTCATCTTCCATGTGGCTACAAAAGTAATTCTCTTAAAGTATAAATTTGGCCATGTCACACTCTCCTATTGAGTAAATTTCAATGATTCCCTACTACCCTAGGATCAAATATTAGTTCCTCTGTTTCGCTTTTAAAGCTCATCACTACCTGGTCCCCAACCATCTTAAAAAACTTATTATATATTACTTCTGCTATACCTCACTCTACAGTCCAGGTCTAATTCATCCAAACTGGCCTCTTTCTTCTTCTCCACACATTACCCACTCTATCTCCTATGTTCATATTTTTTTCACTTGCCTGGAATGCAGTCCTCCCTCACTTATTCCTCTTAAAATTCCTTATTTTCTACACAATTGTTCAAATAACCACTTTTATGTGAATCAGACTTTGCTAATTCTTTCAAGTTCCTGGTATCTTACCCCGTGAACTTTATATATGTTTATTTATGTACAGATTATCTCTTATAGTAGAATATGTGCTTCTTGAGGGCAGGGCTTTGATTTTTGTCTTTGTGTGTCCACATTCATGTCACAAAGTAGTCATTTACTAAATGAATAAATGAGAAACATTTATTTTTTATTTCATTCATTCATTCATTTATTTATTATTTTTAGGCATTTGGGGTTAATTGACTTGCCCAGGGTCACACAGCAAGTAAGTATCAAGTGTTTGGTCTGAGGCCGAATTTGAACTCAGATCCTCCTGACTTCAGGGCTGGTGCTCTATCCACTGTGCCACCTAGCTGCCCCTGAGAAACGTTTATTAAGTGCTTATTGTGTGCCATGCACTGTGCTAAAGGTTGAGGATAGAGATAAAAAGTTAGACAGTTTCTGCCCTTAAGGAGATTATATTCTGAGAGAGGAGACTGCACATTATATTTAGGGAGTATTGGTTTGAGAAATATATTTTGGGTAGTGGAATTGGAGTAGAATGGTGGTAATGTTGATTTAATTGCAGTTTTCTGGGCTAGAGGTAGGGGCAGCGAGGTGGTGTAATGGATAGAGGGTGTCGGGCCTGGGGTCAGGAAGAATGAATTCAAATCTGGCCTCAGACACTAGCTGAGTGACCGTAGGTGAGTCATTTAACTCTGTTTGTCTCAGTTTCCTCATCTGTAAAATGAGTTGGAGAAGGAAATGGCAAACCACTCCAGTATGTTTGCCAAGAAAACCCCAAATGGGATCATGAAGAGGACTGAAACAACTGAAACAACTGAACCAACGAGGGCTAGAGAGGAGGGTATAGGGAGGAGGGAAGGTACTTCTGAGATGGCCAGGTTGAAGACGTTGTCACTGGGAGCCAGAGTGGGTCAGTTTAGAGGAGGCAATAGAAACAGCAGGGTGGAGGATGACTAGGGTGAAGATTGATTTAAGAATGGGTCATGGATAGGAGAATATGGAATATTTGCAACTAGGTGGCACAATGGATTGCTGGATTTGGAGTCAAAAAGACTCAAGTTTGAATTCTCCCTCAGATACTTAATAGGTGTGTGTCTCTGGGCAAATCACATTTCTTGATCTGTCAAGTGGGTATGATAATAGTTCATAGAGTTATTATGAGGTAAGATAAGCAGACAAAGTGCTTTGCAAACCTTAAAACACTATGTCAATTCTAGCTTTTTAAAAATAACTTTTTGAGTAAATTAAATAAAGTAAATGAAGAATAGCACTATATAAAATTTAACTGTTATTAGGGAAATTTTTGAGTAAAATAAATGAAAGAGAGGAAGAATGGCTATTGTTCAGATGTTAACATGCATCTGAATGGACCTCCTTAAGAGTTTGTCCAACAGGATGTATACCTGAGGCACATAATACAGGTAGAAAATGAACTAGGCCCAGAGTTGAAAAAGAGGAGAGCAGGTTGACTTGCTTTTGGGCAATTGCAAAGTACTTTATTGACCCCAAGTATGCCATAACTACAAAGATTCATTGTTTCAGTGTGACCATGTTAGCAGCGTTACTGTAGGGCATCAAGACCTGAATGTTACTGTAAATCACGAGCCACAGAGGGTACTGGGATGACACACAGAGGGTGTGAGCAAGCAACATGTAACCAGGGAGCAATTCCAAAGAATGAGAACGAAGGATATTAAAAGAATTGTGTTACAGAAAGAGAATGTGAGCTGGTTGTATGGTGTGAGTTAGGGATGCAGGGTAGTTGGCAAGAACATTCCAATGGGTACTCTCAAGATGCTGGGAGAAAGTGAGGAAAGCCCCTTGCTTATTGGATGGGCCCCTGTTGGGAACTTTTGGGAATGATGGCTGGGAGATACATAGGTGAGGCAGGCATGGATGGGTTCTATTTTTGTAGGGAACTTCTAAATCAGTGAGATTATGGATCCATTTGAATATCAGTTGAAGCCTATTCAACTTAGTTCATTCTTTCATCTTTAATACTTCTTCAATGGATAACTGATCTCATGATATAGGGATTCCCTTTGGTGGTACAAACCACAGCCCATCTATGCCTTCTTAATCTATGGGATGGATGCTTATCCAAGCCCTTCTGTGGTTCTTCCAGGGGATCTACTCCACGAGCTAGAGGGCTTTCTCTAGGTCTTTGAAAAGTTCATAATTACCAGTAGAGTATATTTAGATTATCCATCTGTTATCTCTTGCTTTTGCTGCCTGACTGGCCGACTTTTATTTCTGGTCACATATTTCCTGGCTGTCATCCCTTATGTCATCCTTGCAGTTGTGGGTAATATACTGCGGCTACCCGCTGCCCATCTCTGTTGCCCTTCAGGTTGCCCACAATTTTGATTGATTTTCAGAGATGGTGGTGTTCAGTGATCCACGGTCATGCTGCATCAGTGGGAGGCTGTTGGGGTTAAATTTTTTTTTTTAAATTCAAGAACATCTTGAAAATGTCATGTAATTTCCTGAATGCAATTGACCTCCTTTCTGCTCTTTTATTCTGGGTCTAACTTATTGTCCATCTGCATTTTCTGTTCAAGATATAAGTTGTAATGGATTAAATTAACACAGGGATTCAACAAATATTACCTGCCATGTACAGGGTCTTTCATGTTGGGAGATATGTAGATGGCAGGCAGTGTGGTATAATGGAAAGAGCACTGGATTTGAAGCCAGACGACCTGTGTTCAAATGCTGGCATTGTTGATGTGATCTAAGGCAAGCAAAAACCTCTTTAGGCCTTAGCTTCCTCCTCTGGTAGTGCGGTAAAGTGGAGAACCAGTACCTGCATTCTTTTACTGGAGACACCATTTACATGGATAGACATATATAAAATTGAAATTAAGGCAGAAAAAGGGAATGCTGGATCTGAGGTGAGAGGAACTGAGTTCAAATACAACTCTCTACAGGTTATCACTTGTATGACTTTGGACAAGCTACTTCATCTCTGTGGGCTTGTTTCCTCATCTGTAAAATTAGGAGATTGGTGACTGTAGCTCAGTCTAATGCTGTGAATTTCTTTTGTTCTATCTCTCTTATTCTCTGTCTTATTCTCTCCTTCTTCCCCTCCCTTCCTCCCTCCCTCCTTCTCTCTTTCTCTCACTCCCCTTCTTCCCCCTCTTCCCCTCCCTCTTTTCTCCCCTCTTCCCCTCCCCCTCCTTGTCTACCAGGCTATAGTTTGTACTATATTGAATATAGTATCAATCCTAGCGTTTATAGTTTGTACAGCATTGACTCACTAAGCCTTCCACAGGCTTAAAGTAATTAATATTGTCAATGAGCAAGTTTGGCCTCAGGAAGTGATGTTAAAGGGCCATTTGTTCATGTCTTATGAAACCCGCCCCCCTGCCCCCAAAAACACCCCCCAGAACCCTAGTGCTTTTACCTTGACATAAGTGATCAACTTTTTCCTCAGCCCGCCCACAGCTCCTCCCTGACGGGTGTTCATTTGCATGACCCGTGAACCTGGAAACTCAGCGGTGTATCTGACCTTTGACCTTTGGTTATATTTAGGTGGCCCTGGTCCAGTGGACTGAAAGTGTTGGTTTAACCCTGGTGGGCAGAGATCAATCTTCTATGCAGCTGAGGACCCCTGGTGGCCAGATTCTGAACTTCACCATTCTTCAAATCTTCCCATTCACTTATGAAAGTAAGCGCATGGGCATCATAGTAAGGGTAAGTAACTATGTAGTTGCCCTTTATTTACGGCTACAGTGTTTAACAAACAAAGCAGGTACAGTGCACATGTCAAGTAGCATCAGCGGTCTTGACTTAGTGTTTTCTGTCACCATCTCCCTCTTTGATATGCATTTTTTCTGAAAGTGTAAAATCTTTCCATATGTTGGAGTCACAACCTTTCTGACCTTCACTGATAAGAAAATATACTTTTCTAAAGCAGATGGACCACAGATATCTGATACAGCTTCTGGTTAACTCATTGAATTAGGAGAGAAAACATGCAGGCACTATCAAGATCGCAATACCTAAAGCTTGAGCATTTTTTAGTAATGCAACTCTCCACATAGAATAGTAATAATAATAACAACTCCCATGGCTATATTGCTTTGCAGTTTACAAAATGCTTTCTTCATAAAAATCCTCCTACATGAGATGTTCAAATATTATTTTGCCTATTTTACAGTTGAAGAAAATGAGGCTCAGAGAGAAATGAAGTTGTCTAGTCCATATGAATTGCTGAATAAAAGTTCTAGAACTAAACCATAGGTAAAAGCTAGCATTCATATAGTACATTAAGGTTTGCAGCATACTTTATGATTATTAGATTATCAGATCCTTCAACAACCCAGGGAGATAGGAGCTATTTTTACCCTCATTTTATAGATGAGGAAATGGTAGCTGAGAATGGTTCAGTGACTTGCCCAAGGTCACAGAGTTAGTAAGTGTTTGAGATTGGATTTGAACTCAGTTCTTCCTGAATCCAGGCCCAATCAATCAATAACATTTATTAACCACCTACTGTGTGCTAGGCACTGGGAATACAAAAAGAAGCAAAAGACAGTTTTTACCCTCAAGGAGTTTACAAAATAACGAGGAAAACAACATGCAAACAAGCACATGCAAAGTAAGTTATGTATAGGATAAATAGAAAAGAAATAACAGAGGGAAGGCATTAGAATTAAGATGGATTGGGAAAGGCTTCATGAATTGGTAGAATTTTAGTTGGGACTTAAAAGCAGGTCAGTAGTTGGAGCAGAGGCAAGTGTTCAAGGCAAGGAGTCAGCCAGAAAGAATGCCTGGAACTGAGAGATGGAGTGGCTTGTTGATGGAATAGCCAGGAGGCTATTGTCACTGGATTGAAGAGTACATATCTGGTAGTGAGGTGTAAGAAGACTGGAAAGGTAGGAAGGGGTTGGGTTATGAGGGACTTTCAGTGTCAACCGGATAACTTTCTATTTGACCCTGGAGGCAATAGGGGGCTACTGGAGCTTATTAAGTATGGAGGTGTGATGTGATCAAACCTGCATTTTAGGAAAATCACTTTAGTGACTGAGTGGAGATGCTTGAGCAGGCAGACCCATCAATAGGCTATTGCCAAATGTGGAAGTGATGAGGGCCTTCACTAGGGTGGTGGTAGTGTCAGAGGAGAGACGAGAACTTATTCCAGAGGTGTTGCAAAGATGGAATCAACAGATCTTGGCAACAGCTTGGATATGGAGAATAAGCAACAGTGAAGAATCCAGGATGACTCCTAGGTTGGGAACTCATGGAACTGGGAGGATGAGATTGCCCTCTACAATAATAGGGAAGGTAGAAGGCAGGGGAAGGGTTTAGGAGGAAAGATAACAAGTTGTGTTTGGACGTTGGAGATGTGAGAATGGAGGTCATCAGAGAGACTGGGGCACCACCTAGGTGTCTCTAAGTCTCCTCTATCACCAGTGTCTTTTTTCCACATCATTTCACCCAAGAACAGCTTCTAAGAAAGTTCTGCCCATTTTTATGGAGGGCTGGGACAAGGAAGAATTTTTGCTTTAATTAAAGTTATTTTTCTTTTTCTTCTATCATAATTGAATAGTTCCTAAAATCAGCTATTTGAGAATAATAATGATGATAACAGCTTACATTTCTGTAATACTTTATAATTTATGAAATGCATCTCTCCCAACTAAAGTGCAAGGAACAACCCATTATGGTTGTTTGTGTTTGGATTTACCCATGGTTTTGTGGCTAGTCAGAGCTGCATCTGACGTCCAGATTTTCTGACTCCATAGTCAGTGGAGTTTTTTTTCCCCCTTAAAACAAGAATACTATGTTGTTAAATGAAAGGAAGAGACAGTTGCCTCAATTTTCAATCATTCAGTCATTAAGGATTTATTAAGCAACTGTGTGTCCGTCATTGTGCTGGACCACGGGGATAGAAAGACAAACAAGAAATGGTCCTTCCTTTAAGCAGCTTAAATTTTATTAAAAAAAAAATAGGGCACTAGTAGCTTGAGGCTTAGCTTCTAGTCAGGAAAGGCTTCATGTGGAAGGTGGTGCTTTGAGCTGAGCCATGAAGGAAACTAGGGATTCTGAGAAGTGAGGAAGGAAATACATTCCTGGACTGGAGAATAGTCAGGACAAAGGCTAGGAGCGGGAGATAGAGTGTGATGTATGAAGAACAGTAAAATGCCAAGCTGGATCACAGAATGTATAAAGGTGTATAATGTGGAGAAAGATTGCAAAAGAAAATTGGTGTCAGGTTATAAAGAGCCATAAATGCCAAACAGAGGGGTTTATGTTTGATCTTAGAGGCAATAGGGAGCCATTGAAGTTTGTTGAGTAGAAGAGTTCACATGTTCAGAACTGCCCTTGACTGTTTGGAAGTGGAATAGGGAGGGACTTGAGGCAAGGAGACTGAAGCTGTCACAGTAGCCCAGGAGAGAGGTGAGGAAAGCCTGACCTGAGGTCATCATGAATGAGTAGAGAGAAGGGGGTGGATGCTAGAGATAGTGGAGGGAGAAATAACAAGATTTGGCCATTGATTAGATGGGAGGGGGGAGTGAGAGGGAAGAGTTGAAGATGGCAGCAAGGTTGGGAAAATAGGTGACCGATGGTATTCTTGATAGCAATAGGGCAATTTTTAAAAGGGGTGGGAGGTTATGAATTCTTTTGGACGTGTTGGTTTTGAGGTGCTTATATGATATCTAGTCCAGTAGGCAATTGGTAAACGAGATTGGAGCTTAAGGGAGAGCAGGAATATACACACATGCATGCATGTGTAAACATGCATATGTATGCATGTGTGCACAAACATATACATGTATGTATTAAACATGTATATATGAATATATTTTAATATATGTATATGTAGAGGTGGGAAGAAAGAGGGAGAGAGAGAAGTTGTTTTGCTTGGATTGAGGCATTTGCTTGGGATTATAAGTGCCAGTTCATCTAGCCCAGTGGTATCAAACACAATTAGAAATGGGAGTTACTGCACTTTACATAAGGATCCTTGAGGGCCACATATGAATTTATAAAACTGTGTATGAATAGTATCTATGTTTTATTGTGATTTTACTTATTTTGTTAAGTATTCCAGTTACATTTTAGTCTAGTTGGTCTTGGGACTGTTGCAGGCTACATTTGCACATTGAATGCCTCTGATGTAGCCAGTCCTTCTTAGTCACTTAGGTGGTGCAGAGGAAAGAGTGTTAGGGGTAGAGTCAGGAAGACTTGAGTTGACATCCAGCCTCAAACATGTACTAGCTGTGTGGCCTTGTTCAAATCACTGAATTTCTGTTTACCTCAGTTTTCCTGAACTGTAAAATGAGGATAACAGTGACACCTAACTTCTGGGGTTGTTGTGAAGGTCAAATGAGATATTTATAAAGTACCTAGCATAGTAGCGGCCACATAGTAGATATTTAATAAATGCTTGTTTCTTTCTTTCCCCCTTCGTCTACTGGTCTGTCCATGGTAGCAAGAGTATTCAGGGCCTTCTCATTTAGCTCTGATAGTTTTAGCACCAGGCTGCTCTGACTCTCCCAATTTAAAGGCTACTTAGTCACAGCCCCACCTATCCTGAGCTACATTCTTTCAGGAAGAAGCAGCTTTATATATAGGCGAGGAACACTTTGTCCTGAATCTTAGCTTCTGACTTCTGATTTAAGGGATTCCCTGGGCAAAAGTCAGGAACTTTGAATAATGTAGAAGTTTGTGACAAACTTTTTTTTTTCCCTGCGACGGAGATACAGAGCTGTGTGCCCTCGTGCAAACATATGCACATGCAAAGAGAACCATATGGACAGACACAGAAATAGAGACCCATAGATAAGCACACACACACAAACACAGAGTCCCTATGTGAACAAGCATTTATTAAGAGTTCACTATATGCCAGGCATTGTACAAAGTGCTTGACATACAAATATAAGCAAGATAGATAGATTTACAAACACACAAGGATGTAGACATAGAGACAGATAAACAGGGATAAGACAGACAGACAGGTACAGATATGTGAACACAGACAAATGGACAGACACTTTTCAATAGGTCTTAGCTTTCTGACTTAGTTTTCTCACAGTGTACTTACATTGACTTTCTGCAAATTAAAAAAAAAATTTAAGAAAACCTCATAGTGTGAAGAAGGTAGATTTAGTTATGCAGCAGATTGGCATCTGACTGAATGTTTCTTCACAGGTATTGACTTTTTTCACCTCATACCTTCAGCTACATCGAACAGCTTGGGGAAGGACCTTCTTGCTGCCCACAAACCAGTCTTTTTTCTTTGTATTGTGACCTCAGTTCTAGGAAGTAGGCTAGAAACAAAGGCCATTCGAGCTACCTCTTTGGAGGCAGTTTGTTTTGTTGTGCACAAGATGTTCCATTGAGCCCCCTCCTTTCCCACCCCTCAGCCCCCCCCCATGTGGAATGATGAAGTCTGATCTCCTGCATAGATCATACCATTGTCATAGCTGAAAGAAAAAAAGCCTTTGAATACTGGCCAAAAGCAAACCAGGATGGAAAAAGATGAAATTCTGAAACAATAGCACTGGCAAATCCCTCTGTGAATTTATAGTGTGATCTTGCCATAATCTGAGAACGAAGTAACCTTCTAATGAACTCGATGAAGAGGAAGTGACTAATGCTAGAAGACAGTTGATATAGTATTTATATTGGACAGAATCTCTAAACTATCTTAAGCCAGTTCTGTAGCAGAGGAAGTGGAAGGT